CTCAGCATATCTAGCATACACTCGCATTAACGCATATGGTAGCCATCCGAAGTGCTAACACAAACAGTCCAACATTAGAAATGCAGTTCATCATTGATGATAGCAGAACTTGTCGCCAACAGATCAGCATTTGCCCGCGAGATCAATTTTAATACAGGTCCCGCCAGCATTGCACGACCGGCATCGCGCCATTTTCTGAATCTACAATTCACACCACGTTGGTCACAGTCGAAAAAACATTCCAAATGCAATCCGCAGCTTACAGGGTCACGCCATGCATTCAACTCAGAAGCTGGGCGACGAAACTATATCCAGTCTACAAATGGAGCAAAAATACTTCGGCCACCGTCCGGCAGAAGCAAAAAAAATTTGCCTCCGCTCCGAACAGCGCCGCTGTCTAGCGTCCATTTACCCCTGGATTCCCTAATGAATAACTGTAACACAACTGTAAAGACGGGATTTTCTACTGGAACCAGCAACAATAAAACTGGATGAAAAACTCGCGCAGAAACCGTATTATTGCAGCCCAAGTCAAATGGATCATTAAAATATATAGCGTGCTTATCGACTTGCATATAAAACAGAGAAAACCTTACAATCGATAGCTCATATCCGTTGGATCGATATGTTTTATGAGTCGTTAATGTTCCTTTGTGAGCTGCGTGTATCGAATCTCCTTACAGTTGACTAAAATCAGAGGAGACTTTTTATGACCAATTTACATGCATTTTTCATTACCCTCTACTGAAAAGAGAAGCAACTGGTCGGACTGCGTTTCAGGTCCGGAGACCCACGTTCAAATTATCAGTTTAGGGGAATGATTTCGTTGATGTCTTTCTCTTTCCTTTTCTCCCTACAGCGTCAGAACAGGAAGAGATCTCTAGAAGGGGCCTTTGTGTTCTCTTTGTTTGAAGTACTTTTGAGTGTCACTGATATTTCTTTAGTCCATTTTCTGAGTGGTTTGTTGCCGCGGAAACTAGAACATTGCTCCATGCGGTGCCTTGTCTGATGCCAGTCCTGTTACATAGTCAAACTGTTGATGTCAGGTGCAAAAATGAAATCAAACCCTGAACAGTCTGGGGCAAAAGCACAAGCCACTCGCGCCCCCCCCCCCCCACACCCCGCCCGATAACACCCTAAAATGTCATAAATACCCACGGTAAAGACAGCTTGGTTTCAATGCTGAAACGAGGGTCAAGGACAGATTATTTGAGATACTGCCCTAGCGATTTGGATGTTCAGCTTTCATGAATGCTAGGTCTAAGTTTAGCATGTTAGACTTGTTTCGTTTCTTTCATCGCCATGGTTTCCTTCTAAGATTACAATCTTGGGTTTTCTATAGCGGTACAGTGTCCAGTCCATGATAGTAGTGGCAAGAGAGAAAGAGAGAGAGAGAGAGAGAGAGAGAGAGAGAGAGAGAGAGGGAGAGAGAGAGGGAGAGAGAGAGGGAGAGAGATAGAACGGAAGAAAGAAAGAAAGACAGACAGACAGAAAGAAAGAAAGAAAAAAGAAAGAAAGAAAAAAAGAAAGAAAGAAAGAAAGAAAGAAAGAAAGAAAGAAAGAAAGAAAGAAAGAAAGAAAGAAAGAAAGAAAGAAAGAAAGAAAGAAAGAAAGAAAGAAAGAAAGAAAGAAAGAAAGAAAGAAAGAAAGAAAGAAAGAAAAAAAAGAAAGAATGAAAGAAAGAAGAAAAAGATATAGAGAGAAAGAAAGAGAGAGAAAAGAAAGGGAGAGAGAGAAAATAGATAGAGAGAGAAGACAGAGAGAGAGAGAGAGAGAAAGGAAAGAGATAGAGAGCGAGAGAGAAGAAAAAGTAGGAGGGAAAAGAAGGAATAATTGAGGAAAGAGCAGAAGAATGATGTATTGACTTGTTCATGTATTCAAGGCCGTCGAAAAGCATAGGCCCACTGTGCACTTGCCGGGAGGCCCCTTGCGGATAGAAGAATGCTTATCTGTATTTGTCAAGTGACCCGCCATAAATAACAGTATATTTGACGTTTAAATCAATTATATATAATATCCAACCGAAGTTATTTACGCCCTCCTCCTCCCAACCCAACTAAGTGTGTGTGTTTTTGTTTGTTTGTTTGTTTGAACACTAACAATGTAAATATGTTCAATATTATTGACTGTTTATTTTTCATTCATGTGAGTTGTTGTAGGGGTTCCACCACACTGTTTTGTCCTGGGCCCCATCATGCTGTTAAGACGGCCCTGGATGTGTTTTCTCCTGGTGTTTACCGTGTATAATCCTGTTTACGCTTCCCCACATCACCGGCTGTACCCCAGTGTGTTAGTTACATGAAAGAGAATGGGGAAAAAACCGTAGAAGGGAGGAGGAAGAAGGAGAGAAATAGGTAAAGACGGATAAGGATGTATTAACCTATATATTTGTACTGTCCTGGTGTTTACCTTGTTGACATTCTGAAAACGTATAATCCTGTTTACATTTCCCCTTATCACTAACAGCCTAGTATTTTACCTTAACACTAACAGCCTTGTCACGTGTAGTTCAGGGCGAGGTGACATTGCCTGTTGTGTTCTTTGATCTTGATTGTACTCCGCTATCACATGCTTCTCCAAACTATATATTGAAAGTACATTCTAGCGCACACCTGATAAAAAGCTGGCCCACGCCGAGTTATTAGAAAATTGGCTTGTTCTTAAACCAGTGACCTGTTAATTTTTTTTTTTTTTAAATATATATCATAGATTCATAGTGTTGTATTTACTAATGTAGCTAGTTTAGACTAGTGGCTTCTTCTTCTTTTTATTTTTATTATTAGTTTAGTCCAGTGGCCTCTTATTTTATCTACGCTTTTAGTTTAGACTAGTTTACCTGCCTTATTTATCTTCCTGTTATAGTTTAGAATTGTAAAGAACTCCTTTACACGCCCTCAGAGGTATTGGACAAAGTGGTCTAGAACATTATTTTATAAAACAATCGGCACTTATTGGGTGAGGTGGTCAGCATCACACCGGCCGCCTTTACTTCCCAGAACTGCATCTGGTACCCCACTTTAGGCTGTGTCGACCTGGAAGCCAAAGTCATTTTTTTAAAAAAGTTCCGGTTCCGTTAAGACCCGAAAGCACGACCTTCCGTTCAACAGGCAAGCGTCTAGCCGCTACACCACGACAACTCCTAGTTTACAATAGGAGCTTTCTGCTTTCTGTATGTAATTTTAGCTTTCTCAAATTATCTTTGTGTTTGGTTTAGATTAGAATTTATATATTTATTGTATGTGTGTTTTTTGTTTAGCCCAAGTAGCTTCTTATTTATCCTATTGTCCAGTTTAGCCCAGTGATTTCTTATTGTATCTCAGTATTTATATATAGAACATAGACATTCGTGTTAAGACAGCCAATTCCTTGTACTGTCGCTTTTCTTTTCCAGAAAATTCATAGAACATTAGGACACTTGACTGATACCCAGGTTTATATAAAGGTGGGTCGAATACTGAACTGTATCAGGTAACGTTAAGTAAAAGTTCCTTTTCCACGCCTTTAGGCGTTTTGGGAATATAGAGCTAGACTTATTTTTTTTTTTTGGTATCGACCAATCGGCACACTGAATTGTACTGGTCTAGAAAAATAACCCTGACTGTGTTGGGGATTGACCAAGAACCTCTGCCTAAAAAGACAGAAAAGGCAACGCAAATTGTTGTTTCTACACGAAACAACTACCGTATTTCCCCTAAAAAATAAGACAGGTTATATATAATTTGTTTAAAATTCAAACGTGCTTTCTGTCAGGGGATGTCTTTTTTTATGTTTAAAAAATAAATTTTTTTATATACTGAATTCTACATTTACTTAAGTACAAAAGTCTACTTTTATTTAAGTATAAACATTTTCACTTCTAATCAGGCGCCTTACCATCTAGAAATATAGGGAGGGAGTGCACAGCCCCTTTTAATTTTCAAGGGGCTGAGCGCTCAAGGAGCTTAAGCCTGTTTTAAGAGCACAATAGTAATAGCAAAGAATATTATTCCTAATAATATGATGCGATAAAGAGCATATGTGTATACTTGAAATAACATGCACTTTATAACAAAATTATATTTGAAGAGAATTTATGTAAATTGTTAAAAGGGTCCCTGTAATTAAAAAAAATTACAAAATTATGGGGAAAAAGTGGTGGGGTGAGAGGCAGAGGTGTGGGGGTAAGATATCTGAGCTCCTCAAGTACCGGTGTCTGTCAGATGCAACAGTGTCATCCTTGCGCAGGGGCCTTGCTAATCTTCTCTGTGTCATTCCAATTTTAGTATAACTACTGCGCGAATAGTACATATACTAATGTCATCCAAGTGTGGGATGCAATTTTTCGTTATTTGAAGCCCCACCATGACTTTTGCCAGGGGCCCTGAATATAACTAGGCAACAAATAACGCCTAACGACTGAAAGGGGTTTTTGGGACCTCTTCACGGGTGATCCCCATCCGCATGGTGGCACTGTGTGTCACCGGGTGTATATCACTTGTGTGATATCCTGGTGGGTACAACCTACCTACCTACCTACCTACCTACCTACCTACCTACCTACCTACCTACCTACCTACCTGCCTGCCTGCCTGCCTACCTGCCTGCCTACCTACCTACCTACCTACCTCCCTACCTACCCCCCTACCGGCGTGTCTGAAAAGAACCATTGGCAATGGCAGCGGCTCTAGTTTCGCCGGTGTGTGTGAAATCAGTGACTGAATGGCACGGAATCGTCTCCGTCACCGGCTGTGGTTTTATCGGTGTGTGTGAAGACGGTCTTAGTATGTTTGAGCGGACGACTTTCAATTTGTATTTGTTGACATAGCAATTAGGTCTTGTATGGTTTCAAGTTGTGCCGCTCATATGAAAATACACCGACTTCTATTCCCGGCAGGGACAAATCGATATCCTCATATTTGAGATCTCAGGTGCACATTGAATGATTTATAAACCAGTATAATTATTGACTAAAATGCTAACAACGATCTCACATTATATTTTCTTTTCACAGAGCACCAGCAATGGCGATGAAGCAAAACGGGCATTCAAATGGCTTTTTAAATGGCAACGGTACATCCAAACTACATGGTGAAAAATTACAACATCGCGGAAAATCTAACAACAGTAACGGAGTCTCCAAAAAACCGTTCAAATGGTTCTTTAGCTTTCTTACTTTAGATACTAAAATGAAAAGCAATGACGACGAGTGGATGTATTCAGAGGAGCCTCATAGTGAACGTCGAAAGGAAATCTTAGACAAGCATCCAGAAATCAAGTCTCTTATGGGACCAGATCCGTGGATTGTTGTGCCTGTGACAATCTCAGTTTTATCACAAATTATTCTGTGTTGGTTGATAAAGGACGCTTCCTGGGTCACCTTGGTTGCCATGGCGTATTGCATCGGGGGAGTCTTCAACCATTCGTTGGGGTCAGCCATTCATGAAATCGGACATAACCTAGCATTTGGACATGGGAAATATGCATGGTGGAATCGAGTACTGAGTTTGTGGTGTAATCTACCACTAGTGGTCCCTATGGCCATTTCCTACAAGAAGTATCACGCCGATCATCATCGATACCTTGGTGAGGAAATGCAGGACGTTGATATTCCAACTCGACTTGAGGCTTATTTGTTTCGTCATCCTCTAACAAAAATTATATGGCTGTTCTTCCATCCTGTTATCCACGCTATTCGACCATTTTATAAAAGCCCCAAACCACTGACCGGTTGGGAGATCATCAATACAATCGTCCAGTCCATCTTTGTCATCGTTATCTTTAAATGTTTCGGCGCCAAAGCTCTAATATACTTAGTCGCAGGAACCATGCTGTCTCTAGGACTACATCCTCTGGCTGGGCATTTCATTTCTGAGCATTACCTCTTCACTAGAGGCCAGGCTACACACTCTTACTACGGGCCGCTGAACTTTATCCTGTATAACGTTGGGTACCATAATGAGCACCACGACTTTCCATACATTCCATACACACGCCTGCCAGAACTCAAGCGCCTTGCACCCGAGTACTACGACAATTTGCCTTACCATTCGTCTTGGGTTAAGGTAGTGTGGGATTTTATATTTGATAAAAACATGGGCCCCCACGCGCACGGTGTTGGCTATCCGAAAGACTTATCTCAAGTACAGCTGTCTTAGTTTGTTTTGTTTTCTTGCACATTTAGTAATTTAGTTTTCGAAATTCACACTTACGGAAGCTTTATATATTCTAACAATTACATTCTTTCGTGGTCATATAGTTATATTTAAAATTTATTTTACCTTAACAATCGAATACATGCTAATTTACGAAATATCAAACTCAGTATAGAACATCCAAATTATTAGGAAGTGAGACAATGTTGTTCGTGTCATCAGAATAAATAGTCAAAATCTGATAATTCAAACTAAATACATGTAAATATAAGGTCCGTCTTTTACATGATTTTATTCGATTAGTTTATCCTGATTCAAAGTAGCCCGCTCGTAGTAGGTAGGTAAGTTGTACCCCACCAGGATATCACACCAGCGAAATACACCCGATGACACACAGAGCCACTATGCGAAGAAGAATCATCTGTAGAGAGGTCCCGGAAACTCCGTTCAGCCGTTAAGCCATATTTATTGCCCGGCTATATTTATGCCCTTGGAAAAGGCCGAAGTGGGGCTTCAAAATAACAAAAAAATTGCATCCTGTAGGGGAACGACTTAGATATCAGATAAAGGCAAATTGGTAGCTGCTCATGTTGCCAAGATGTTGAGATCAAAATGAAATCGTCCGGTTAAAAAACTAATTGACAACCCACTGAACCTAACATTGCCAGTAAAAAACACCCAAAACTCCATAAATACTGTGTTTGTTTAGCGAAGTCATGTTAAGGATATGTTACTAATTTTAATATTTCACATGTGCTTGTCCGTGAGAATTAGTGTTAAATTTGTAAATTTGCTTTTTTGAGGCTAATTGTCTTGACAGTCTTGATGTACTAAGACTTTTTGAAAGTTCGTCCTATGAACATTTTACATTCTATTTTATAATATTTGTACATTTCAGACCACAACATTAACAATGCATACGTTGTTGTACCAATGTTTTAATTATTGCTTTCGTATTTCTTTCAATTTGCATTCCATTTCCTATTATCGAGATCATGCGATATAAGCGAAGAAAATAGTCATAACAAAATCAAATGAGTTTAACTTTAACAATAAATAAATAAGGGCCGAAAAAGCTCAACAGAGTCACTGGCCTGTAGAAGAAGGTAAATTAACTAATCATTTGGGTACAAAGAGTTTGCGTAGCGAGTGTGTGAGAGACAGAAACCAACAAGAAGATTGCATTTTGTCTGCAATTCTCAAGAAAAGTTTAGTAAGTTGTTTGGTGGTAAATGAGTTAATTGTTAATTTCTGGCACTACAATTGAGGAAATTAGTCATGTCATTAAAATTTTCAGTACCTGCCAACTCACTATACGTTTATTATTTATTTTCTCCACAGTGCTTACATTTAATAATTTGTTCTGTCCCATTCCTTAGCCGTCTCTCCAGTTTTGTTCTTACTTGGCTCTGTTCCATAGTTCCATATAATTTTGTACTATCCCATAGTTTCATATTACTTGGATCTGTGCTTACTTACGTCTTACTTCGTTCTATCCTATAGTTTCATTTTAGGTCCTTCTGTCCCAGAGTGTCATGTTACTTCATTTTGTCCCATAGTTTTAGATTACTTCGTTCTGTCCCATAGTTTAATTTCAAATTAATTCGTTTTGTACCATGGTTTCATATTACTTGGATCTGTGCTTACTTCCAACTTACTTCGTTCTATCCCATTCTTTCAAATTATGTCCTGCTGTCACAAACTGTCTTTTTACTTCTTTATGTCCGATAGTTTCATATCACTTTATTCTGTCCGATAGTTTCATATCACTTTATTCTGTCCCAAACTGTCCTATTACTTCGCTCTGTCCCATACTTGCATAAAACTTCTTTTTGTCCCATAGTTTTAGATTACTTCGTTCCGTCCCATAGATTAATTTCATACTAATTAGTTCTGTCCTATAGTTTAATTTCATATTAATTCGTTTTGTCCCATGGTGTCATATTACTTGGATCTGTGCTTTAGTTTCATACTACTTCATTTTGTTCCATAGTTTTTCATCACTTCATTCTGTCCCATAGTTGCCTATTACATCGCTCCTCCCATAGTTTCATATAGCTTTGCTCTGTCCCATAGTTTCATATTACTTAGATCTGGGACTTAGTTTCCATCTTATTTTGTTCTATCCCATAGTGTCATATTACGTCGTTCTGTCCCATAGTTTTCTGTTACTTATTTCTGTCCCATAGTTTCATATTAATTCGTTCTGTCCCATAGTTTTGTTTAATATTATTTCGTTTTGTCCCATGGTTTAAAATTACTTGGATCTGTGCCTTAGTTTTATATTACTTCGTTTTGTTCCATAGTTTCCGTTTACTTTATTCTGTTCTATAGTTTCCTATTACTTCCTTTCTGTTCCATAGTTTCATAGTACCTCGTTCTGTGCCAGAGTTACATGTTCGTTCTGTCCCACAATTATATTATTTCAGATTTGTGAAACTCTAAGGTAGTTGCCATAATTTGGATAGATATTATCCTACGGTTTTTAATATTTATCATGCTTGTTATCAATTTTTACTTGTATATGATTGTTCTGAAATAAACATCATAATGATATACATTTATCCATCTACCAGACTGAAAAAAAATGTTTCTGTTTTCTGTGATTAACATTCCAGAACGCAAATATCTATTGATTTTGATAGATTATTAAGATATTTTCATATTATATATTGTTTGTTGGAACTATCGCTTGCTTGTTTTTCTTAAGGCTACATTGTATTGGGAAAAAAAAAAAGCAAAATGAACATAGTGAATTATTTTGTTTTGACATTTGTACTATTCTATCAATTCATAAACAATTGTTGCAATCTCACGTGCCCTCTGTTTTATCTGTATGCTGATCTGAAATGTGGAACTGTACATTTTTTATTACATTTTCGTGTTTATTATGCAGCTGTAATGTCTTTGCCTTTAAGAATTGAACGGGTTCCCCGTGAATTCATTTATCACTATTATTTGACACATGTTTGGATATTCATTTTGACGGTTCGTAGGATGTTCAGTTTGAAAGCTACTGAATATCATACCTGTGCTTTATATTTTTAATCTGCTCAGACAAGTTCATGAGAATTAATAACCCACTTAGGCATACTGGCAGTGAAGCATGATCAAGTACGGACACACCGTCTTCGGTGTCAAGCTACGACAAATTATAAATCATATTTTTGTTAGAACTGTCAGCTGCATCACTTTGAGATAGATGCTGCATCACAAGACCAAGCACGTATGGTAGTGCAGATGTGCGATGATGTCGATATGATAAAATAACATCACTGGAAGTTAGTATTGTTCACATTCTTCCACATCAGCTAGCTCAAATGTTATCAAAGAACAGGATCGATTTCAAACTTCGAGAGAGCAGTAGAAGACATATTCTAACATTTTAATTGAACGCTTCCTCAACGACACGGAGTAAAATAACTTTCTTCAATTGTATGTTCATGCTAGTCCTAATATTTCTTTTGTATACCGCGACTTGAGAAAATGTAATTGCTTGAGAATCTCTAAGGCTATTGAAATGCCACGAGGCAACGCATATTATTGGGATTTAGAGAGGTTTTAAAACCATAGAAAATGTGAGGATGTACCAGACATATATATATAAGATACTCACTAGCCGGGATTTAAACCTGGCATTTCAGAACCAAAAAAAAAAAAAAAAATGGATGACATGGAAATTCGATTCAAAAAAGCTTTTTCTAACTGTCTTGTATTAGTAGTAGAAGAAGCAGCAGCAGCAGTATTAGTAGTTGTTGTAATAGTAGTAGTAATTAGTACTAGTACGGTAAAATATTGTTTTCATGCCACCGGCGAATCGGGTTTATTGTACTAGATTCTTTTTCTAAAACACCAGACGGCATTTGATAGGGAATGTCTACACCAGACCAGTGTCCCTGGACATTTGCTGGTACCCGTTTTGAGGCTGCTCAAACCGACAAAGCCCAGGTCAGTTGTGAAAATGCACCTCAGGGAAGACTCGTTTTCTATCTCTGCAGGAGCATAGCCCTCCACGTGTGTGTAGTAATTCCACTTCCATCCCCTCCCAATAACATCGTGCAGTTGTCTGTCAAATAAAACTAGCCTAAAGTAGCATGCAGTGTGGCACAGAAACTGTCATAACTACAGCAATATACAATCCCTCTGGGTTCACTTCTTGACGTCAGTTTAAAAAATAAAACGCGCGCCCACACACACACACAGACACACACCCATTTTCACAGACTCACACACTTTCACAGACACACACACACGCACGCACGCCCGCACCCACGCACCCACCCACAGACACACACAATACCACACAACACACACCACACCATATATATATATATATATATATATATATATATATATATATATATATATATATATATATAAACATACACACACAATACATTCTCAAGTACAGTTTAAATTAGGTTGTTGACTGTGTGGCTAGAATGATGGTCTCCCTTCGCAAGGCTTTTTATCTGTAGTCCCTTTGGATCTCCTTTGTCAAACTGTTAAGCCGTTAACCTGGTGTTATGTCGTGGGTTCGATTTGTGCCTCAGGTCGTTCGGTTAGCGAGCGCAAGTGTTTCGGAAACCCCTGGGGTTTATCGCTGGAGCAACATGACGCCTGCTTTGTATGGCCCCCTTGACATCCACCACCTGCTCTACGGAGATAGACTAAGCCATTAGAGCAACACACAGAGCCTTTAAATAACCTATACATCTGCATAAAGTGAAAACTAAAACATAAATTACTGTAACCTGTAAATTACATCATTTATCAGGCTAAGATATTTCAAAAATGTGGGTTAATTGAAGAATAATTACACTTTATATAGATGTAAAGCGTAGTGAAGTTCAAAGAAGTTCACTTAACAGAAAATTGATAAGCTCCTTCAAGAGGAGACAGTTTACATTCTCTTGGCAGATTGTGAAAGTTAGAGGTAAAGAGAACTAGTGGGAAACCGAACAAATATGCCAGATCTAAATAATCTGGCAGCGCTGTAAAAT